CTTGTTTTTTTTTCTTTCTTCATTATTATAAACAATATATAATGTACTTTGGTCGATATTTTGAAACATGGAGTTAAATTAATTAATTTTGGTTCTGGCTGAAGCACTATGAAAGATTTTTGTTGCTTTTAAATAGATATTTGAATAGATATTTACTTGAATGTTGACTAACCCGGGATAAGCACAACAAGCCCTGACCTCCAGTGTCACCACTGAGTTTCATATATATATATATATATATATATATATATATATATATATATCTATTCCCAAGAGGATAGAATCCAGATAGAAGTCAATGTCCAGGACAGAGTAAGAATATAATATAAAAGGCTCAAACACTAATATTCCATGCTTATAATTTATTACATTGGAATCTTAATCATGATCCAAATCATCAGACCTACAAATTCGAAACTTTTTGAATTTGTAGGTCTGATGACATAAATCTATCTCTATCTATGTATCTCTTCTTATATATCTCTATGTATATCTATCTATGTATGTCATCTATGTATGTATTTATCTATATCTTGTATCTATGTATCTATGTATGTATGTATCTATGTATGTATATATCTATCTATGTATGTATCTAATATATATATGTATCTATATATGAAAATCTATCCTATATATTACAAAAATTCTATGTCTCATTCTATTATCTCTATATATTATCTTATTTATGTATGTATCTATATCTATATATCATCTATCTGTATTATGTATCTCTATATCTCTATTGTATGTATCTATCTATCTAAATATCTATCTATCTATATGTATTTAAATATGTATGTATGTATATCTATCTATGTATCTAAATATCTATTTATGTATCTATGTATCATCTATCTATATTATATCTATGTATAAATATATGTATGTATTGTATATCTATCTATCTAAATATCTATCTAAATATCTTTATCTATATGTATCTATGTATGTATATGTATCTATCTCTGTATATCTGATATCAATATATATATATATGTATATATATATATATATAATATTCTATATATATATATATATATATGAAAATATATATAAATATATATATATATATATATATATATATATATATATATATATATATATATATATATATATATATATATATATATATATATATATATATATCTATATATATATATATATATATATATATATATATATATATATATATATAATCTCCACAAAGAGAGCTCAATGTATTTATTGTAGCAGAGCATATATATATATTACACATAGACAATACATAAGGTAATTTGGGATTTTTTTGCTGTGTAATATATATTTTTAATAATATAAAAATATATATAATTTTTTTATTTTTCTTATTTTTTTTATCAAGTTCATCCCAAAAAAGGCATTAAAGCCACTGAGACACAAGGGGTTTACTTGGTGTGGTGTGAATTAGAAAACAGGAACATCACTGAGTGAGAACAGAAAGACTAATCAGGTGGACACTAGATAGTGATTGACATTGTATTTAAATTTTTGAAGATTAAAGTTGACTGGAACTCCCTTCCAGCTCCATGCTTTCCAGACATGAAAATGTATTCAAGATTGACAAAAAGATAGAAAGTTTGTTTGTTTTATTTAATGTTGAAATCTTAATATGAAAATTCAGACTTTCTAATTAATTCAAGAGAATGACATTATTTCATGATTAAATTATAATTACTTAGCTGTTTTTTTTTTTTTTTTTTTTTTTACCAAATAATCTTGTAAAATCAAACAATCCTTTGAAAACTAGTTTTTCCTTACAAGAAATGAAATTAATCGTAGCAAATTATTTTTTGACAATGTATGCCATGTTTACAATTTTACCATGAATAGGTATTGTTGGTAATTTTTTTTTTTTTTTTTTTATAAAAATGTATTGCTAGTATTTTACTATAAAAATATTTTTTATAATTTTTCATCTTTAAAGGGGTTCACTATTTGCCCATAGCTAGGACCCTAACATTTACTACTACCCCAGGTTAGGGTTGACTTGAGAACAATAATGAAAGGTGGTTCCATACTTCATAAAATTCTCCAATCTTCCAATCATAAGTATAGTTTTAATTTGGATATTGTTTCTCATTATACCAAGGATGAAAGGGTAAAAATTTTGAGAAATGCTGCTATAAATAAATGTATATACTGAATATGAGGCTAATTAAAAAAAGTCCTCCCCACCCCACCAACAAGATGTAGGTTGGTGTTTGTTTACCAAACACATTCATATGTCAGTGTGTTGTGGGGGTCAATTCTCGAAATTGACTGTGGTGAGTAAGAAAGAGGGAGAAATGTGTCATCAACAGAAGTCCTTATAGAATTTCCGGCTGATAATTGGACACTTGCTCTGATGAAAATAAAATTCTGACATTTCAGATGTACTCCTTTCAAGGATTTTTGACTTGACTACCATTTACTGGGGACACTTTGGGAAAAGCAGTAACGATCTATCACTGACTTACTAAGTAACTTTAATGAAACGATCCTATTATAATTGTACTTGTCCTCCTCCCTTTGTTAGTTTGCACGACCGTTACGTCCTGCCAATACCTCATAAATAATGAACTATTCTCTTTTGCTTGCATGGAAAGAGAGGAAGACACTCCTTGGTTTCGGGGAGAAAATGGAAGAAAGAAGGGGAAGATAGAAGCTGATGAGAACAGATACTACACTTTGGCCTTAATATTTATTGACAAAAATACATCAATTCGACACAAGGCCAGGAGAGAAGGGAGAAAAGCTTGTCATGCAAAGTCTAGTACTAAGAAAATTGAAACTACTCTATCATTGAACCCATCCACACGAACGATATTCTTTTTGTTCGTCTCTTTTCATCCATTGTCTACCACTCTCTATATTACCTGCAGATTATCGTTTGTGATATAAATACTAACATGCAAGGGGCTAGGGTGGGTTTGAACAGTAGATAGAAAGACAGATCACACAACAGGTTTCATTTTACCAAGCTGATTGAATACTAATGGAGTGTACCATGCCGGCATACTAAAGCTAAAAAAACACTCTAGTTTGCCACATTTCACACATCTTAGCCAAAAGTCTAAGAAGCCATGGTATTTGTGTAAAAAGTGCCAATTTTTTTTTTTTTTTTTTTTTTTTTTTTTTAGAGGCACAGTGTTAAATGAAGAAAACCAAGTAAGACAATCACCAAAAATTTGGTTACAATAACTAACATCATTTGCTGAATAATTTTAAAATTATTATTAAAAGAAATGTTCATAAGATGGGGGGTTTTAGCTAGGAAGATAGAAGTGTTTAACATCTGCCAATATCTCATAAATACTGGACTATTCCATTTTGATTGCATAGAAAAACTGTTACATTTTGAAATGTTTTAAGAAAGAGCAGAAATATCACATAATAATTGTGCTTGTGTCTCCCTTCATTAGTTCACATAACCATTATGTCCTGCCAACACTTCATAAATACTGGACTATTCCATTTTGATTGTATATAAAAACAAAACCTATGCTACTTGGTTTCAGTGAGAAAATGAATAAAAAAAAAAAAAAAAAAGATAGAAATATTTAACGACCATTTCAGTGAAATGCAAAAATCCAAATCTTTTCATTTGTACCCCATTACTACTTCAAAATAATGATCAGCATTCATATTTATGATTGTTATTGCAATATTTTGTTAAAGTCATTAATCTCAAATATTTAAAGATACCATAGGGGAAGTTTTACAGATATTTTCTTGTCGTAGAACTCACCATAACTCAATCATTAAGTGAAGAATTAAGATTCATCAGAAAATTAAAATAGGAAAGCCATGAAATTTTCATGGGTCTTTCTAGTTGAATAAAATTTCCTATCACAAAATATCATTCTTGAATAAAAAGAGGGATAAAAATACTAAATAAAATGACGAAAGTTTTCCCTGCACAAATTTTTGGGGTACTTTATTTACCCAATAATAGATAAGCTTCATTATCTTCATCTTAATGGGATCAGTTCAAATTGGCAGCTGATCTCAAAAATGACTTACAATCTATTGTTAACTGGGGCAAGGAATGGCTTGTTAATCTTAATGACTCCCAAATGAAACTGCTCTCTTTTAATCGTCTGAGAGAATCCCTTTTGCATTCCATCAGCATGGTTGATGTTAACCTCTGGGAAAGAGACTCCTTGTGTCTTCTTGGCTAACATTTTTTTATGCTGACATGAATTGGAAAGATCATATAGAATCAATTGCTAGATCTGCTGTTAAGAAAGTTGGTTCACTGTCATGCTAGATAACTTTTCTCGCTAGGATCTATCTTACATATTTATAAGTCTACCATTCATCCATGCCTTGAATATTGCTGTCACATCTGGTCTGCTACTCCTGTTATATATTTAGAGAATCTTGATAAAATCCAAAGAAGAATCTGCAATGCTATCAGTCCTGACCTAGCACCTCAGTTTCAGTCACTTTCCCACTGTCAGAACATAGTTTTTTTCTGTGCTTTTTTTCTATAAATACTTTCATGGTAATTGTTAGGATGTACTTTTTCCTATGGTCACTAGACTTTATGAATTTAAGCAAAGTACTAAATTCACAGTTGAATTGGCTAGATGTAGCAGTAAGTTCTATGCTAACAGATTCTTTTCTCGCACTTCTCACTTGTGGAACTTTCTTCCAGCTCTGTGTTTTACAGCCAATTTCAAAAATTTAAATGCAATGTTAATCGTTATCTACTGTCTTCTTGATTACTTTTCTATTGTTTTCGCTCCTTAATGGTGTTTTTCTTCTTTTTGTACTCAGTAACTCATTGTGTCTTAGTGGCTTTATTGCCTTTCTTGGGGGTGATATGATTAAAAAAATATCAATGACAATGTTATTTTTGTCATTTAATTTTGAGACTCTGATGTGGACAAATCATTAATGACATACTGTACAATTACAGTTTTGTTCCAATTCTTAAAATTAAAACATAAGTAATTATTAATTAGGTTTTTTTTTTTTTTTTTTTTTTTTTTCAGAATGGGCGAGAAAATTTACAGTAATTCCAACTATGAGAAGGTGACTCCTGAAATTATCCAGAAAGTAAAAGTTGTCACTGTTGGGGACATATCAGTGGGCAAGTCATCACTTGCAATGCGATTCACAAAAGGGATATTTGAGGACCAGTACAAACCTACAGTTGGAGGTAAGTCTGAGGTAAGAAACGTCCTTAAATTTAAGCTTTGAGGGTAAACACCTTCTCACCTGTATCTATTCTCAGGTTCTGAAATTTATTATATTGGAACAAAAAATTGTGGTATGTTTTTTTTTTTTTTTTTTTTAAAGTGAGTTTTAAAGAAAGTATTTGAATATTTGTACATAACTTTTGTTTCGTTATCATGTATTTACAAATCAACCCTTTATCCATGTTACTGCCATATAGCTGGCTTCTGCTATATATTTAAGGATTCTTGACAAAATCCAAAGAATCTGCAATGTTATTGGTCCTGAGCTGGCATCTTGGCTTCAATCAGTTTCCCACTGCAATAATGTAGCCTCCCTGTACCTTGTCCATAAATATTTTCATGGTAATTGCTCTGATGAACTTTTCTTTTTGGTACCCCCAACTTTATAAATTTAAGCTCAGTGCTAGATTGGCAGTTAGGTCTCATCATTTTATAGCTGAAATTGCTACATATAACCATAAGTTCTATACTAACAGTTTCTTTTTCACTTGTGGAACTCTCTTCTGGCCTCTTACTTTCCAGTCAACTTTGACCTTCAAAAATTTAAATGCAATGTCAATTGTTATCTTCTGTCTTCTTTTCCTCTTCTTTTATTGTTCTCTCTCCTTAGTAATGTTCTTTTTTTCATATTCTTTCACACTCAGTAACCCCTTGTATCTTAGTGACTTTATTGTCTTACTTGGAGGATAAATTATTTCAAAATAGAAAAGTAGACGATTCAGACACATCCAACAAATTAAGGTGTATTATTCTATCTACCAAACTCTAACACAACTACAACTGAATTTGATTGATTTGTTTTTTTACAGCTTATCAACCCTTTTCAGGTTATTTAAAGCCATAAAATTTTTTAGATTCAAAGATTTTATTTTATTTTTTTTTTTTTGATATAATAATGATTTTAGGGATACAAGTATTACTAATTAACCCATACCTGGGGGAAGAGATGGAGTCATGCCTTTCTCAAGGGCATTTGCATGTAACTGAATATAATGAACTAAATGGGAATTTGAACTTGGCTCTCTGATTAACAATTATTCATTACATTATGTAAACTTGGATGTGCAGGTGGTGTAATGGATAATGGTTCTTCCAATCATTCGCAATTACACCACATGCACGTCCAAGCTTACAACACCTGACATTCCCTAGCAGTCACCCATCTAAGTACTGACCAGGCTCAAAGTTGCTTAACTTCAGTGAACATACAGGAATTTGTGTTGCAGTGTGATATGACTATATGCCTCGCAATTACAATTGAAAATAATTTATCCAAGCTTAATATAAAATTTATCTCAACTACTTCTAAAACAATAAAATAGTTAATACAAAACAAAATAAGAAGCTAAAACCTAAAGGAGGAATTTACTCTATCACATGTAATGATTACCACAAAGAATACACTGGAGAAACCTCAAGAAATTTAAATAAAAGATTATATAAACACAAGAGATCTTTTACAAAGTAACATATTCAAGTTGCTCACCATAATGAGTCAGACCATAATTTTGATTAAAAAAAATGCTGTTTTAGTTAAAAGAGAAAGCAATTTACTAATGTAAAAGTATATAGAAAGTGCAGAGTGTGTAAGAAATAACTTTTACATATACTTTTCAGAAATAGATCCCACATTAAGGTAAGACATTAGTGGCAACAGGGTCTTCATCTAATTATTGTCTTAGCATTATGTGGGAGGTATTTCTGCCACACCCTGTACTTTGATCATTAAATCATGGATGGTAAATTTGTGCCCAGGTTCTTGCAACATTTCACCTTTCTTGGCAGATTTTCCAGGTTTTTACAACATTTCACCTTTCTTGGCATATTTTCTATTATCACAATGTCAGATACTTAATAGTAAAAATGATAGAAACAACAAAAAAATGTAAGAAGACTGAATGAGGTTGACTAGTCTACATACTGTGACGCATCTAAAAAAATTTATCCTTAAAATTTCTGTGTTCTGAGATTTTCAATGTTTCCTGTTTATGCAAAATTATGACAAACTATTGTGTTTTTTTTTGTTTTTTTTTATTCCCTTCCCCTTTCATCAACAAAAGTCAACATTACTTTAAAGTCTTAGGATGAAACAAGTCACACAAATTTTATTTCCACTTTGTCATTAAATTCCCTAAAATTGCTCTGAGATATATATTTCTAAAGAATCAATGAATTATTATATTTCTAAAGAATTAATGGTGCAAATGCCCTTGGGAAAGGAATGAATCCATCTCTTCTCCCTCCAGCTATGGGTTAATTAGTAAGACTTTTATCAGTAAAATCATTATAATCTCCAAAAATATTCTTTCAATCTAAAAAAATATTTTTTGCTTTAAATAATCTATAAAGGGTTGATAAGCCATGAAAAAACAAATTTTTACTGAATATCTGTATTTGAATAGATAATTTTTTTTTTTTTTTTTTTTTTTTAAACAGTTTGTATCACATCTTGTGCATTCAGGAAAAAAAACTTAAACAAAATATGTTGTGTGTACATCTTCGTAGATGTGAAAACACCGCCTGTCATCAAGCAGTCTACTATATTTTTCTTGTATTTATTTTTTTCCTGTGTGTGCTGAAAAATTCTTGGCTCAATCTGTCTAAAGAACCAAGCATAAAAATTTTTTTTTTTTTTTTCATTGTATCATTTCACCTGAATCAAGGCAATAAAGCCTCTGAGACACAAGGGTTTACTAAGTATGAAAGAATATGACAAAAAGAGAATTATTAAAGAGCAAGAATTTTAACTTCATTTTTTAAAGTTTTTCCTTTATTACTTGATAAGTAATTCACAAGACTAATGTTTTTTGATTTTTAATTTAATTTTTTTTAATTTTAATTTGTTAATTTTTTTTTGTTAATTTCTTGTGTCTTACAGCAGTCTTTGTATTTCGGACAGTTAATTATGGCCGGCGACGTGTTTTATTTCAAATTTGGGACACAGCTGGGCAAGAGAGATTTAAAAGTCTGGTACCCATGTATTTAAGGGATGCTAAATTTGTACTTTTGGTATATGACATCACCGATACGGTAAGTAACATCAAATTAGCTTTATAGATGGTATAAATGGTTTTATATCAATAATATTGATTATTTAAAATTGGACATTTCCAAAGTATATATTGATATAATATATGCAAATATATTAAAATAAAAGGTGAAAGAGTAGCAAATGTAAGAAAAAAATTTACTTACCATATTAAAAAATAATAAAAAACAAAAAAAGAGGGGCTAACTGGTTATCGCTCTCCAAAGCTTAAAGACAAAACATATGAATATATACACAATGCCTAAAAAATAGGGCAGAACAAAATATTACCAATGTATCAGAAGTGTAAATCACATACAGATTACATTAAGACCTATCAGCCATTCCTTTTGCTTATAGAAGAAGAGTTGCCTAGACTCAATATACAGGATCTTCGACAGTTTCAAAAGCTGAACTGAATGTGCTCTGCAGACTACTGTGAAAAAATCTCTGATAGAAGTCCGTGATTGAGCCTTTGTTCTCATATGCTTTTAGATACAGTATTTTTTCTCTATGAATATTATTTTAAATTGTGTTTGATATTATAAAGACTTTGTTTCCAAGGAAAGTGATTGTTGTTTCTGCAAGAGATTCAAGAAATTATACAGTATCAGACTGCACATCTACTCAGGGGAGAATTATCAATGTAAAACTCACACACACATATACATGTTTGTTTATATATATATATATAATGAAATGGACAAAGTCCGACAATTATTTTAAGACATTTTTATGTTTATACATTCTTTTTATAGATACAAATATTTAAGTAAATGCTCTGTTTATAATAAACAGTATTAAACAACATTTACCGGCCTGAATATCCAAGAAATTTTCACAGAAATAATGTGTGACGTCATTTGTTTATATTTGATACCCCATATGAAGGTATGTGAGAGATTCATAGAAGATTGAAGTTCAAATACAGTAAATTCGACCTTGCTAACCGAATGCTCCTCTGTGGCCAAATTGGTTAAAGGCACGTCAAACTAATTGACGGTTCCGTATAGGATATAGGTTTGAATCCTGTCGGAGGACGAATATTTTCTGTGAAAATTTCTCAGACATTCAGTTGTTTAATACTGTTTATTATAAACAAAGCATTTACTTAAATATTTGTATCTATAAAAAGAATGTATAAGCATAAAAGTGTTTTAAAATATATATATATATATATATATATATATATATATAATTTAAATAAAAAGACCACTTTAAGGTTCCATGTAATAAATTATTTTACCACAGCCTTTTTAAAAAGGACTAAATGAATCATCAGACTTTACTTCCAAACAAATTTTTTTTTTTTTTTTTTGTTTGGAAGTAAATTCTGATGATCCGCAGTCCTTTTAAAAAAGGGCTGTGGTGAAATAATTTATTACATGGAACCTTAAAGTGGTCTGTTTTTATTTAAATTATTTCCTCTGAATTTACATTAAGCTCTCTGGATTTTATCCTCCTTAGGTTTACCCATACGGATTACCTAGTTTTTCATAAATTATATATATATATATATATATATATATATATATATATAAAACACTGTATGCTTAGTATCAATTAATATAATCTGTGCTAACAGAATGCAGATATTTACAACCTTACCATAGGTAATGAGACACTAATGCTGGTTTCTGGAACTTCTCAGTGTTGCTCAGGCCTTGAACAGGCTAAAGGCTTTTTTTGTGGAGCCCTAACAAATTAACATTGAAAAGTATGCATTTAAAAAGAATAAATTTGTTTTTCGACATTTACTATTTACAGAAAATGAAGTATTACTAAATGATAAAAGAGAACCTGTGGTTTTGAAGTGGAAAGCTTTTCAAAGTAGGGTGTCGTGGTTGATAAAACTTATTACCTCATTACATTCACTGCATTTAATTGATTCTTTATATAATTTTAGTAAATGCTGATAAAAATGTTTCTTAAAAATTAGTTGTTAGAAATCTAAGAAAAATTTCAGAGCTTGGTTAGCAGTTCATGGCCATTTTTCATGTCAGTTAATCCAAGATTTTGATAAATTATTTTACGTTTTTTGACATCATAAACAAGACTGAGCACAGTCAAGGTCATCTAGACATTGTAAACTCCATGATCCTTTCATTAGCTGTATAGTATTGTACTTTGCCAGGGCTTTTTATACACTTTTTAAATTCAGACTTCTATTAGATTGGTTGCCATCCAAGGCTATAGGACCCAGTCTGTACCACTATTTACCCATAGTTGGAGATTTTGAATTCAGAATCTTCCTTCTCCTGCACTGGTTGCCACTCAAGGCCATAGAACTTAGTCTGTCCTGCTATTTATCCATAGCTGCAGGGAGTAGAGATGGATTCATACCTTTCATAAGGGTTTTAGCATGTAGTGAATGTAATGAACTTGAATTTGAACCCAGCTCTCCGATTCCTCACTCTGAGCCATTGTCCATTATTCCACCATACCTCTAAAACACATAGTCTCTTGAAATGTTTACTAACTTGGGGATGGGGGTTAGCATTCCTTTTACTTTCAATATCAAAAGTGAGTAAATGCTATGGAATATTGTACATGAAATATTATACAAATGTATTTGTTAATCTTTTTCTTACAGGCTTATGACCCTATCACATCAAAATACTAGTTCTTGTCCAATCACTGAAGTTAAGCAATGTTGAACCTGGTTAGTACCTAGATGAGTGACCACTTGGGGATACTGAATGATGTAAGCTTGAATGTGCAGGTGGTGTAATGGATAAAGACTTAAAATGAGAAATCAGAGAGCCGAGTTCCAATTCCAGTTGGGTTCATTATATTCACTTACATGCAAATATCCAGGGGGGAAAAGTATGAATCCACCTATTCTATTCCCAGCTATGGGTTAAATAGTAAGATTTGTATTAGAAATATTTCTTATCTCCAGAACACTTACAAATCTTAAAATATGTTTTAGTTTTAAATAAGCTGAAAATAGGTTGATGAAAAAAAAAAAAAAAACCCAAATCGGTCAATCATTAAGAACATTTTCTTACTGAAAATAAGATAATTTTTTTTAGCAATTAATTTATACCATTTTATACCATTTATACCTTTATGGTATATGATGTAATGGAATAACCTGTTACCCTCATGAGTAACTACACTATAGGTATCTGTAAGTCAACGGACTACAGAGCCTAGCTGGCATCTGTTGAGTACAACTCAGACTTACACAACTACCGACCTTCCAATAGTAGCACTCGCTACTGGATTGACTTGCAATGACTTTGTGCATAACTATTACGTTTATTCTTATTGTATTGGTTTTTACAATAAACCTTTACTTATTTTATCCACTGTGTTTTTCAAGTATATATTCCTATTAGCATGGAATATAAGAGTATAAAACAGCGTTTCTTAAACTATGGGTTACAACCCCAAATGGGCTCACAAAGTGAAATGCTGGGGTTGCAAAAATAAAATTCAAACACTTTAATTTCAGTTTTTACATTCTCTCACAAATGCTCAATATTTAATGCAATGCACCATGCAAGCGTTGCAGTAATAAAACGTGTGTGTTGTACTGTTACAAGTGCAGTAACAACAGATGTATTTTCAGTGCAGTTGGTTAATATCTGGGGTCATGAAAAAAAGTTTAAGTGCTGGTATAAAACAAATAATAGAAATGTTTGCAGAGGTTTCATGGAGCCTCAGTTCTCCGTAGAACCTATTTTAGGAAATCCTATGGTGAGGGAGGGAATGAACAGAAAGCAGATGATGATAATAATAATAATAAATAGAAATACCTCTTAAAATTTTAGTTTTCCTATTTAAATTTTCTAATGAATCTTAATTTTTCAGTTAATGATTAAATAAGCACATAGTGAGTTCTATGACAATGAAATATCCATAGAAATTCCCCCTTAACATTGTTAAATATTTGAGCTTAACAACTTTAACAAAATATTACAATGATAAATATGAATGTTGGTCATTATTTTAAGAAGTATGGGGATACAAATGAAAAGATTTGAAATTTACAACTTTTTCCATTTTGCTGAAACAGACGTTAAACACTTCTCTCTCCCCTTCTTTCTTACTTTCTTTTTTCATTGTTTCTGTGTTTCTTTCTAGCTTTCACTTTTTTTCACTGAAACCAAGCAGCTTCTCTGATATGTCTTTTCTGTCTTTCCGTGCAATCAAAATGTAAATTCATTATTTATGAGGTATTGGCAGGAGACATTAAACACTTATCATCTTTCTTTCTTTCTCTCACTGAAACCAAGTAGTGTCTCATATCTCTTCCCACAATTAAAACAGAATGGTCCATTATTTATGAGATATTGGCAGGGAGTAACGGTCGTGCTAACTAAGGGGAGAAGACAAGCAGAATTATATTTAGATAATAATGTCAATAATAATAAAAACAACAATAATATTGATTGATTTGTTTTTTTACAGGTTATCAACACTTTATGGGTTATTTAAAACTGAGACACATTCTTTGGATTGTAAGAATTTTTTTTTGTTGTGCAAGTGAATATTGCATTAAGGATATTTTGGAATAACCTTGGATCAATATAGTCATGCATTGCATGTTCTAGCCTGCACAAAAACATAGAAATATTATATGCGGGCAACAGGCCACCTTTAAAAAGGCGTGGACTAACTAACTAGCATGTGGATTTCACTTCCTCCTCTGTTTGAAAATGTCGCCTGACTTTAGACCTATATCTGTGAAATCTCCAAAGGTACTCTAGAGAAGATGAGGCATTTATAAGGAAGGAAATAAAAATCCCAGTTGGATTCAGATGTCATTGAGCTCAGGAGAATCTCTGTAGTCATAACTAAGGAGGAGAAATGAAAAAAAAGAAAAAGGTTAGTCATCAATTATTCACAAGCGATAGTGTTTTACCTTAAAAGATGCCTGTTCTCTACCTAAGATTACAACAATGGTTTTGGAAATGGCAAAATATAGTCTGTACTCTGAACTAAATCTAAAAAGTGTATATCATCATGTTCCCCTATGTAAAGACCCTCGCACAGCTTTTGAAGCCAATGGTAAATTGTATAAATTCAAAAGGATGGCATTTAAGATCACAAATACAGTGGTTGAGTTTCAAAGAATTTTGACTGAAATAATCAAAAAGGAAAGCCTAAAGGGAACATTTGTGTGTGTGTATATATATATATATATATATATATATATATATATATATAATTACCATTTGCAGTATTAATGAGAGAGAACATGACACTAACTTAGCAAGATTCAAAGAACCGATTGAAAAGTATGTTCTCACCTTAAATGAGAATAAATGTCTATAGAGTAATCTGAGCCAGATTACCCTGATCTGTGTAGGTAAAACCCAGGTAGGTTTACCTGGCTCTTTAGGTTCATAGTTAGATTTGCTCTACTTAGTGTATTGAGCACTTTACAGGTTTTTTTTTCTTTGGAATCTGAGCTTGGATTCTGGACGATTATTTTCACCTCAATTACATGTTCTTAGTTCTTTCTTTTTTTATCCCTTATTTTCACTTAGGTATTGGTTTGTTTAATTACAAGCCAAAATACCTAAGGTTTTTCCAAACGAGTATAACTAGTCATATTATATATGACGTGACCATTTGCAATATTAATGAAAAAGAACATGACACTAACTTAGCAAGATTCAAAGAACTGATTGAAAAGTCCAGTTTCACCGTAAATGAGAATAAATGTGTCTATAGAGCAGTGTTTATCAACCTTTTTACCTTTGCATAAACCTTAAAATAAATTACATGTCTCAAGGAACCCCTGCACAAAAAAACAAAAATTATATACCATATCTTTCTCATTTTATTTTCATCTTGCTCTAAATTTTCTGTAACCCCTTGTGTCCTAGTGGCTTCCCGCCTTGCTTGGGGTGAAATGCTTAAAAAAAAAAAAAAAATCATAGTTCACATGGTAAATATCATAGTATATATTTTTGAATAACTGGTCTAAGGAAAAATGAATACTTTATCAAATTTTTGGGTACTGCTAAATAAAATTCGGACTGTTTGTTTATAATGCTTCATCAGGAAGTTTTCATTCTCACACAAAAAAAATTCTAAACTTAAATGTAAAAAATAAGCATAATTAACCAATATCACATATGTGTAACAGAATGAAAATGGATAATTGCTGCTTCATTTTTTTATTTTTATCCTTTACTGGCTATGTTGAAAATACATAAGGTAAATCAATACAAAATGTCCTGTGAACCAATAAATGGGCTAAGAAAATATTACTTTCAGAGCCATTTGATAAAGTAAAACATGATTCTCTAATGTGAAGCCTGTGTCTGTCTTTTGCTTAAATTAAATAAAAAGTCAAAAGTACATTAGCTTATGTCACCTGTTCTTATGGAACCCTTTGGGGACCTTTTGGAGAACCTTAGGGTTCTGGAAAACTCCGGTTGAGAAACGCTGCTATAGAGTAATGAAAATAAAACTTCTGAGCTATGAAATAAGTAAAGGGACTGTTAGACCAGGCCCTGAAAGGATGAGAACTCCCTTCTTCAAGCAATATGAAAGCTCAGAAGAGAATTGTAGGAATGTTTGCTTACTACAGTCATTGGATCACAAACTATTCACTAAAGATTCATGTGCAAATAACACTATATTCTCTTACCTAATAAAATAAGAGATTCCTTTGAACATTTGAAAAAAAGAATTAGTAGTAGTAGTAGTGCACACTCTAGATGAGGAAAACCACTTTGAAATTGAAAACTGATGCTAGCTACGTGAGCTTAACTGCAATGCTAAATCAAGGAGGTAGGTTTGTTGTATACTGGTCCAGAACTCTAAACTCTTCTGAACAGAATCACTTCCCAGTAGAGAAAGAAGCTAACATGATCCTTGAAGCAATCCGTCAATAGAATCATTACCTAAAAGGTAAATATTTTATTCATATCACAAACCAAAAAGATTTATCCTACATTTTTGATAAGCATACAGCTTTGAAGATTAAAAACGACAAAATTCATTGTTGGCAAATTGAACTTTTCACTTACAAATATGGTATCAAATATCAACTGGGCATATGGCCAAGTGGTTAGATTGTTTGTTTTCTAACTGTGAGACCCAGGTTCAAATCTCAGCTTGTTTGACAGGAAGGAGACTTCTGGACATTATTGGTCTGGTGGTGGACGAACCCAGCATGCAGCACCTTTTGAAAAGTGCCTGAAAACTATACCACGGGCTGATCCAAGATTTATGAGTGAAATTGGGTAGATGGTACTCTTGGGGGCCATCAATAGTTGTCATCGTGACCGAGGGATTAAGTGTACTGGCATTGTTCAGATTGTTGATCATGTTAGATAACATGCTCTCTCCCAGAAACTGTAATTAAGGTCTGTTCAGCATAGTTGTAGTATAAACCACAGGTGGGCTCTGTGGGTAGTGAATAAACCTGAGCAAGTGCCTGCAAAAGGGATCGGCTAGCTGCCCTAGCAGACGGTATCCTCGAATACGAGTGGCCAGCTATAATTATTATTATTATTATTATTATTATTAAACAAACAAATCAATCAATTAAAAATCGTTTTCGGATAAACCTGCTAGAAGTTGTGGCAAATGTATGGGGTGGGGGGTGACAAGTTTGAGTTTTTATTGATGCTGCCTTGGTTATGAATTTTTTCAGAAAAGTTTCGAAGCCGTTCCGTATTGGTTGAATTATGTGACCAAATATGCTCCCCCAGATATCCAGATTGCTCTTGTGGCAAACAAAATAGATTTGAACCACATGCAAAGTGTTGATTCTCAGGTGAGTTGGTTTGTTTTTGTTTTAATGATTTTTTTTAAATACCTATGTTTATTAGATTATGCAAAAGCGTTTGATAAAGTATGTCACAAAGACTGTTTGGAACTGCTACGTAACAATGACATATTTGGGAAGGATATTAGAATAATCCAGAACCTATACTTCCATGTTATAAAATATGTTCTTTTCAACTCTCCTTGCAGTCCTGGGTATGACGATAAACTACATCCAGCAGCAAGGCCTCTGATTGGGAGGTTTTGAGGAGTGTAGAAACACCTCTTAATTGCTGTAATTTTCAGGTAGCACGTGTTAGGGTTCCAGCTATGGGCAAATAGTGAACCCCCAAACTGGGGTCAAAACACTATGAAAATAAAAAAAAAATACATTTTTATACTAAAAATACCAGGGATGCATTTTTGAAAAAAAATAAAATTACCAGCAATACATTTGACTCTTGACAAAAATCCTCTTTACAAAAATACATTGTTCTGGGTATGACGATAGACTACATCTGATCAGGAGGTTTTGAGGAGCGTGGAAGCACCTCTTAATTACTGTTGTTTTGAGGCCCACCCTGACCCAGGGTAGACCTGGAAACTATGAAAGTACAAAAATAGGTTTTTATAGTTAAAAAAAAAAAAAAAGACAAACATTTTTGGAAAAAGTATTACCTAAAATAGATTTTTGAAAAATAAATATTAATACATATTCTATTCATATGAACCTATTCCAAAAATCTTGTTGGCATTAAATAACTCCTTGAGATGTTGATATGCCATAAAACAAAATAAATCAAACCAAAAACACATCAGTGAAACTTCATCTACAAATTGATTTCTTACAAAGACTATATATTCTATTCATACAAACCTATCCTAAAAACCTTGTCAGCATTAAATAACTCATTGAGGTATTATGACATAAAATAAATCAAAACAAACCAAATCAACTGTTCTTGCATGTTGTTTAAAATCTGAAAAATTTGTTTAAATAGTGAAATTTTGACCATTTTCAAGAGAAGCCGCAATTAGTTACTTTTGAAGTATTCCTTCAACAGTTGCATGTCAGTTTACCAGGATAGAAACAATGCAGTTATTAATAAGACTATTTGAAATGAATGCATGCAAAACTAGCATCACTAAACTGATGAACCTTTCAGCTAACCCTCGTACTTGTGTAAATAACGCAAGAGAAACTAAGATGAAAGAAATCCAAATAAAAAATAAATAATTCATGACATAACTTTGTGTTCTAATAAAATCCATGAAAATATTTCTACAAAAAGTCTTTAGAATTGCAGCTTGTATTGTTGTAATGAAAAGTAAGTAATATTAAGTAAAAGTAATTCTTGATAAAAACGCAGTTCACATTTCTCCCTGGACTTTTGAACAGGATTACATGTTTTTCCCTTGTTTCTTGTTTAAGAATGCTTTCCAGTCTTTTCTAAAGATTTTTCATTCTTTCAATAGCTTCTTGCATCTTAGTGGCATTATCACCTTGCTTGGGGTGAATTGATTAAAAACAAATAACAATTTTGCAAAACTTTCATTTTCAGGTTGCACAGCAATTTGCCCAGGAAAATGGTGCCATTTTTGAAGAAGTGTCTGCAAAAAAAGGAACGAATGTTGAAAATCTCTTTACAAGATTAGGTGTGTGTATCCCACATTTTAAAATTTAATGTTGCTGCAGTACCATTTTCTATACATGATACAAGAACAGACTTGTTCACCAAACTTCCTTGTCAGCAAGAATATAAAAATGACTGCATACACTGCAATGGGATCAACTCAAAAAAAAAAAAAGAGGCCAACTTCGGAGTGAATTTTGGCATTTTCACTCTTTGATTAAATGGATAAATGTTTGCCTTTTGATTCTAGTGTGAATCTGTCAAATGCTCTCCTTTTGACACTTGTTTAAATCTGACGAGTGTTTACATTATGACTTCTATAAACCTGTCAAATGCTTTCCTTTTCACTCTTGTGTAAATCTGACGAGTGTTTACATTATGACTTCTATAAACCTGTCAAATGCTTTCCTTTTCACTCTCGTGTAAATCTGACGAGTGTTTACATTATAATTTCTATAAACCTGACAATACTTTTGCTATTTGACTTGAAATTTATTGTGGCAAAAAATGATTTTCTAAGTGTAGCACAGAACTGAATGTGTGGAGCCCCCAGTGGGGTTTGAACTCGCTATTCATTCATAATAGATCTAGTGAAGAAAGCTTGCTAACCATTGCACCATGTCAAAGTGCCCAAGCTTACTGTTTGACTCGGGTGTAAACTTGATGAATTTTTGCCTTTTTGACTCAAGAGTAATGCCAGCGAATTCATGTATTTTGACTTGTGTTTAAACCTGATGATTACTTGCTTTTTATCATAAAATTAACCAGATGAGCCTAACCATGTTCATTGTTTTAATCAGCTCTAGATAAAAATCACTAATGCTATATTCTGATCTAGGTACATGAGATGTTCATTAATTAAGATTGTGTTGCACCAATCTTCCAAATAAGGAGGCTCTGCTTGTCTGGAAGATCATATTGATATTTCCTAAACTTAGATTGTTATTGAATAAGTATAAATGAATTTCGTTAAATGTGAGTAAAAAGCAGCATTAGAAATTCTGGCTCTTACCAGGCATTGAACTCTGACCCTTGGTACTTCCTCAATCTCCAAGCAAGTCCAAGTCTAATGTAAATTCGAGTTTATTAAAAAATTTCTTATTTAATGCATTATCGATCATATATATTTTTGATTGGTGATTCCTTTGAATTGCAACAAGATGGTTGCCTCCCTTTAGACATCAGGTTTTCATATTTGGAAAGTGCCAGATGTTTCATGAATGGTTTGATAAAGTTTCTTTTAATTCATGGTAAAGAGGGAGTTGGCTGTCTAGATGCCACCACGATTAAATGACAGAATAATATTATGAAGTTGTGCTAGTTAAACGGAAATGATACAAATTTTCTCACAAGTGAAATGTTGCAAGCCACTTGTTACTTTATTGTTATTTCCATGGCAAATGTTCTATTCAGTTATGTGCCATGCATGATACACGCTTAGGTGATCATGTATCTTTCAATACATCACTGACGAGGCAAATTTTTTCCTGCAGTAGGTTTCCATTTCTTTTTGCGGTAGACCAGTTGCCATCCAAGGCTATAGAACCTGGTCTGTTCTGCTATTTACCCATAGCTGGAGATATTTTCCTGCAGTAGGTTGCCATTTCTTTCTGCGGTAGACCAGTTGCCATCCAAAAATGTTCTACTTTCCTTAATTCCACCAGTTCAGACCTTCACAGCTAAAACCCACTATGCCATATATACTGGGATTAAATTCTTATTTTCTTCATATTCCATTAGTAATCAGGAAGTTCTTCCCATGAATTTCCGCTTTGTAAAACTCCCAAGAGAATTTTTTTTTTCCAATCACGACAATGTTAGTCTCTTTCTATGGTTAATTGTCTTTTCTGTATAAGTTCATAAACTTTCTTTGCCTCCTCCTTTTACATCAATACAACAACTGCATTTAGTAAATCTCTTAGGCCTTGTCTTAAAAAAAAAAAATAATAATCTCCAAAAAACATGTCGTAGAAAATTGGAAATAATTTCAACATGTTAATGCCTGAATATATATTAATATCCAAAGATGTGACTCAGGATCTGTTGCATGTTGACAGCTGATTCCAGTGATTGTGGGGAACAGACTTGCTTTTTTACAAGTCTGACCAGGCTGTTGATTCCCTAATTCTTTTTTTTTTCTCTCAGGCAAAAATAAGACCTTCTGTTGTTAACTTCTGTTTCTTATTGGTTAAATCAGTCACCTGACCAGCTGAACAGTAAATTTTTATTCGGGTTAATTTTAAACCTACAATGACTTGCATCCGGTGGCTTACAAAGAAGAAATAAAAAAATTTTTACTTAAAAAAAAAAAAAAAAAAAAAAATGAATTTAACAGATTAGGGAAGATAAAAAGATTTTTTTTTTTTTAAATTTTATTTACATTATTTAGTCACATATAATTTTTTTTTTGAGAAAGAAAATAGCAGCTTAAGTTGTCAAGCTAAATGCCTCCACATTGTATACTGCTGTTGTACTTAGAACACGTATGTTGGGGTAAAATACATTTAAGTGAAGGGGAAGAAAACACCTAAAACAGTTGAAAACTGCAACTCCATAGCAAAAAAAAATAATATGCTGAGACATAAAGTCTTATAATCAGTGACTGTATGAAGCTGACACATATGAAAATATGAACAGATGAATAATAAGTTATAAACTACAATCTGTGCAAATGACATTGGTAGAAAAATGTTATCTGCCCAAATCAAAGACTATTATAGAAATTTTAAAAATATATAAAATATTCTAGAATTTTGATGTCCAGGCTGATCACCCATCCACGTTAGCAGAACGAATCTGGTAATCATGAAGAAAGAAACTATGCACCAACCAATTTGTGGGACGGCAAATAACAGAGTGAACATAAATGAGAGCAACTAATTGAATATCTTAGAAAATATCAATATGATCTTCTAGGCAAGCAGAACCTCCTCACTTGGAAGATTGGTGCAGCACAATCTTACATCCTTGTGCAAATTAATTGAAACAATCACTTTAGTTTCTTTCCTTTCATCATACGATCAGTTTTAGACCCATTGGAGTGTCAGGATGTAATCGATTTCTATTTCTCCCCAGATTAGGTCATTTACAGTGGTGTGCAGTAATATGAATCTATTTTCGGGGTGTATTATGAAATTTGTTTGACCGTGAAAAATATTGCATCATTCGTGATTGCATCAGATTTTGATCATGCCCATACACTATTGTCTTGACTGTTGATTAGTTGTCCTATGGCCATTGTCTGCGATAGATGTTGCTCCAAGGAAGCATACAAAAATTGTATCAATGCATACACTGGCAAGCTTTACCAGTGAGCAAATCAAAGTACTATTGACTGGCTCAGAAACTCTCCTGATTTAAATCCAATTGAAAATCTGTGGTCAATCTTCAAGGAACTATTTTGTAGAACAGACATATAAAGTACTAACATAGGCACTGGGTTGTGTTTCATTGGACAAATATAAAAAAAGTAAATAATAACGGAATTATTTGTTTTAATTAATTTGCACAAGGATGTACTTAACATACCATTTACCTAGATCAGTATATACTATAAGTGAATTTTTTAGAGCTGATTAATATAATGAACATGGTTAGGCTAGTCTGGTTAATTTTATGATGAAAGGTAAGTATTAATAAAGTTTATACACAAGTCTTAAGTTAAAATGAAATTATCAAAAGAAATTAAAGGAAATGAGAAAGATATGGAATGTTCTTTTGGATACCATTTCTATTCAGGTTGTGGATGATCAATCTCTCCATAATTTTATGTCTTTTGTTCCTCTAAGTAAGTTTTAACTCTTTAGTATTAAAAAAAAAAATTCAGGCATGCTAATTTTTTTTATCTTTCACAGTGAATTTTTATGTGGCACTAAAATCCAAATGCACATTGGATTAGAGAAAGATGCCTTTCAAAATATAAAAGTATTAAGAAAGAAATTTGATTTAAAAAAAAAGAAAAGAAGAACTCTTGAAAAATAATAAATCAATTTTCTTGTTAAAAAAAATGTATTACACCTAATCATGGAAATACAATCAATCTAAAACAATTAAACTAGCATGGAATTTGAATGAGGTTCACTAATTCTAATTTCCATACTGGTAAATATGATGCTACCAGATCATGGTGACAAAAGATAAATTAATACTGTTCCTAAATTTTTTGATAGACAGTAGATAAATGTGATTTATTTGAATTAACTGAATTCTTAATTTTTGTTCTTTTATTGAAAAGAATTTTAATAATGTCTAATTTTTAGAAATATTCTCTCATTCTCAGTAAAATTGTACCTTAGTGGCTTTATTGCCAAATTTAGGTGGAAAAAAAAGAAAAATAAATGAAAAAAAAACAAACAATGTTTAATCATTCCTTGTATTAGCTTCAACCAAGAACTTAATTTTGAAATAACAACTGATCAAAATATTTGAAATAGAAACATCTTTTTCAAATTTTTTTATCCATACAATAAATTTCTGGAAAATTTAATCATTGTTATCAGACTAGCTACAATCATTGAGTCATTTTGAATTTAAATGATCTGTTTCATTAGATGCAATTAGTAGAATTTGTTTTTTTTAATATTTATTTTGGGATTCAGTGTTATAATGAAACTGTTATCAAATGAACAAAATATGTTTATTTTTTTTGGTGAAAATCTTTGGACACCCTCTGATTTTACCATCTGCAACAGAGGTTCTCAACCAGTGGGGAATTCTCCAGTCGGGGGGAATTTCAGGGTTTCAAGGTGGTGGCTGGAATTAAGGGACAATTTCAGAATCAAAAATGTTAACCTTTGAACTTTTCAAAAGAGAATAAAACGTGCAAGGGGCATCATTTCTTTTCTTTTGAAAGGGTCAACATTATTTTTTTTACCAATACTCTAATCTTTTTTTTTTTTTGCAACCAAAAAAAAAAAATCCGTTTCAATGAATCATACTAATAAGGAAAAAGAATGAAGATTTTCAATAATATAAGAATATTATTTGGAATACATTTTAAAAATTGTCAAACAATCTTGTAATTTTGGAGGAATGACGTCCTGATATTTGGT